GGCGTAGCAGAATGTGAGCTTCTCAGCGCCGCCAGCGCAGGCGGGGCACAGGAGGGGCGGGGCTCCTTCATTCCTTCATTGGAAGTCCTGTACGTAAAGGGCAGTGTTTTGGGTGGAGAGGAATACTGTGCTGAGCTCTGAGGCTAAGAAGGGAGGACCATTTACTGATGTTTTCTAGATGCAGGATAGATGTTTTCAAACGTAGCACAGAAGTCTGAAAAAGACTAATGGAAAGTCTCTTGTCATTTTAGGAACAGTAGAGCCTACATACCTCTGCAGGTAAGTGTTAGCTTCACCTTCATGTTCGATGGGGGTTTGGCGGGTTTTAGAGATGCTTCACTGACGTTGCTCTGGTTAGTAGCGTTTGGAAACATTTTTCCAAATTGACAATTTGTGCTTCTTCCTCCAGGGATTACTCATTCACTTATCAATTTTTGTCAAATCCTTATGGATTTTAATGTCAGGGGTGTGTGTGTGTGTGTGTGTGTGTGTGTGTGTGTGTGTGTGTGTGTGTGTGTGCTAGAGATGTTATTTTATCTGTTAACTCCCTCTATTATCTCAGAGTCACACCTATTCTAAAACTTAGTCTTAGAGAGGTGCGAGCAGGGAAGTGACTTACCCAAAGTGACTCAATCTTTAGCCTTCCTGATGACAGTTATCAATCCATTATGCCACATCAGCTCTTAGGTTGTTTTTTTTTCTGTTTTATCCTATCTTCTTTTTGTTTAAGAGACACCAATTTTCCTTATCTCCACTATTCACTATTTTTCTTCTCATTTTGAAAATGATTCCTAATTAGGATACTGATCTGCTTGAAATTTATAATGGTGTATGGTGTAAGATGAAGATCAAATTCTATTTTCTAACATAATACTAATTAGTTTTCCCAGAGTTTCTTTTGAATAGTAGTTTCCATCTATAGTAATTTTATAATCTTGTATCAAATATTAATTTATAAACTTGCTTTTGATTCTAACCTAGATTATCTATGCTATTCCACTGATTAAATTTTATTTTTCATATTTAGTACCATATAGTTTTGACCATCACTATTTTTATATTATAATGTGGTCTAGGACAATGGTGTCAAACTCAAGTAGAAACCAGGGCCTCTGAAACATACATAGGATCCCTTCTGGCCATACACTTATTTAGAAAACCACATATTAACATCACCTATGGTCTACTGTATTTGTATTAATCTCGGTAGATATTTCCCATTTACATTTTAATCTGGTTCGACAATCAGGAGTGGGCTGCAGTGTTTTTGGCACCTCTGGTCTAAAATAGCACAATTTTCAATTCATCTTCCTTCCTCCCTAATTCCCCTTGATATTTGTGTCATTTGTTCTTCAACATAAATTTTATTATTCCATTTTTTTTAGTTTTGCAAAGTTACCATGAAATTTGAATCCATATATTATTAAGCCTAGACATCAGTTTAGATTTCATTGCCATTTTTACTAGATGGGCATTACCTAATCATGTCCACTGCATTTCTCTCCAGTTTTTTTCCCCCCTTTATTCCAATTCAGTTCTTTGATAGTTGTATTTTTGTAGGTCTTGGTTTGTAAATGCCCAAATATTTGAGCCACTTCTGAAAGTATTTTTAATTGAAATTACAGACATATGATCTTACCAAGGCAGAAAAAAAAAACCTGTTGTGTTTTCCTGGGTTAAAGTCTTTATTCAGACTTAAAAATTTTCAGGGTTTTAACGCAATTATTAGGATTTTAAATGAGTGGAGTGTTTCTTTCACTTAAAAAGTATATAATTCAGGTCTTCCTGACTCCAAATCCAGTCCTTTATCCATTCTTTCCCCTAGCTCCCTAGGTGACAGGCCCTATACCCAGCCTTGAAGCTGCATGGAACAGGACAGACAGCACCCTGGGGTTCTCCCCAGTTGGCCAGCTCTGAAGAGACCACCCTTGGCTGCCTTCCTCTGGTTGTAAGGTGGGGCCAGGCACCTGTGTGGGTTCTGACGACCTGGCCCAACCTTTGTCTTCAGGAACAAACTGAGCCTCCGAGGGGGCAGGACAGAGCCCCAGGTCATAGAGCTAGTTTGTGGGTGCATTTCTGCATGTAGACCCAGGGCCATAAATTGGACCCAGGCTTTCTCAGAATGTTAGAGCTGGAAGCTGCCTTCAGGACCACCGAGGACCTGGTCTAAACCCCTCAGGCATCATCTTGCCAAGAGTCACAACTAGTAAGTGGCAGAGCCATGGCTGCCTCTTTTTCTTAATGCAGTTTTCATCGCCCTGTTTTGTATTAAATCTAAGATAAATGCAATTAGACATGCAGACATTGATTTTTAAATATGAATCAAATGCAATAAAGAGAAGCAGTGTGGCGTGATGGAAAGAGCTCAAGATTTTGAATCAGAAGATCTGGGTTCAAATCTCAGCTTTGACACTTACTACCATGTGACCTTGGCCCAATTCTGCTTATTTCTCCATGCCTCAACTTCTGTAAAATGAGGGGCTAGGAGTAGAGGGGCCTCTGAGGTCCCTTCTAGCTCTAGGGCTCTGATCCTGTGATTTTAAACAGGACTCTAAGTATCACAAAGCACGGCAGAAAGAGTCTTGGCTTTGAATTCTGGGGGCAGGGGTTCAAATCCCAGCTGTGATCTCCAGGCCAGCAATTTCACCCGGTGAGGTGTGGTTCTTTATCTGTAAAATGTGAGGCTTGGATAAGGTGACCTCTAAAGTCCCTTACAGCTCCAAAATCTCTGAAAGCATAAACTTTAACAACTAAACTCCAAATATGGCCCAACCGAATAAAAAAATTTAGAATAAACAAGGTATTCGATCAGCATAAGTGACTAGGAACCACATTAAAGCCACTTGGTCCTTATCTCAGTGGTCTGGAAGAGATTGGAAAATACTCTTTAGATATGAGGTGCTCGAGGACCAGGATTTGCACCGACTAGGTTCTAGGTTCTTAAGGCTGGTTAAATGAATTTCTAATTTTCATTAAGAGAATATTTATGTGGAGCAGGTTGCTGGTGGCTTTTTCTTCCTAACAAACAGCCATTTTTTTCCCCCTTAAGAAACTTGTTTCACAACGAAGAAGATGCTGTTTTTGTGAGGTCAATGAAGAGATCTGTTACCCAGTTTAACTTTGTGGATTGGGACATCGTCCCCACCAGAGCTGAGCGGCATTGCGAGAGTAAAGCCGAGAGACCCGCTGAGTGGACTACAGTCACGATCAGATAACGGCGGGGCACTTTCCCCTGAGCTTTAGGGTGGGGAGGTATTTCTGTCCAGCATCTCCATGAGAATGGTTTTGCGAAATTACACTTAATGAACATTGGATGTGATCTCCAGAGTGTATTTTGTATGCGGGTTCCTGTCTGGCACACTGTGGGAAGTGGGTATGATACAAAGGCAGACAGTCCTTGCCCCATCCCAAAGTGCTTACAGTCTTCTCTAGTTCTTAATCTACGTTCCTATGACACTGGTGCTTCAACATGATTGAGGTTAAGGGCTGAGGAAATAAATGTGGCCCCGAACGAGCTGAGAATTTTTGGCCAAGGTAAGGAAGCCAGCCAAAGACTCTGCAGGGGTAGAGAAGGTACCACTTATGGTTCTGTTGCAGGGAGCATTTGCCTGGGCCAGGGTCAGGCATTGCTGGATATAGGATTACAGGTTAATAGACTTAAAGGTGGAAGGGACCTTAGAAGCCAACAAATTCAATCTCCACATTTTACAGATGGGGAAACTGAGTCTCAGAGACAAGAAGTGATGTGCCCAGGATCACACCACTAGTGTCAGGTGGGTTTTGAACCTAGGTCTTCCTGACCACAGGTCCAGCGCTCTACCCACTATATCACCTTGCTATCTCAAGGCTGGCAGCCCAGTCAGGTGAGAGGGCTCGTTCCAGCAGGTCCCTATGGAGCAGGGACTCCAGTGGAGGGCCATGGCGGCTATCCAAGAAGACGGATTTGAAGATGCTCTTGGAAGAGCCTTTTGGAAGGCAGGCTTGTTATTCACCTTCATTAGTAGTGTGGTCAGGGCCCCCATCAGCTGTCTCCCAGAAGTCAGCATCTTTTCTCCAAGTTCAGAAACCTAGACTCCACTCGCTTGCCTAGAAGGGGCTGCACAATGTACTTGTCACATACCCCAGAACCCAGAGGTACAAGTGCAAAGTAACGGCCATAGGTTACACTCCTGCACTTAGCAGGGATGGTGAGGCTGATGACTTCGAGCAAATTTACCTCACTTAAATCCAATTCACTCCAAGTCACCCTGGAATGTCATTGGTCCTCTTCAGAAATGAAGGATGAACATTTGTGATTTGCCAGCTCCACACAGGGCGCTGCAAGAGGATCCTGGGAAGGCACGGGTGAGACTTGTTTGTACCCTTGAGAGCAGGGAACACCACAGGACCTCAAGATTTGGAAGGAAACTCAACTATTCTATTTACAACACCCCTCTCCATCCAGGCTCTTCTGGAAGACCTCTAAGTGAGGTGGAGGTCACCTCCTCTCTAGATGTCCCATCCCACTTTGAGGCAGCTCCATTAGGATGATTTCTGTTAGGACATCCCGCCCAAATCTGCCTCATTGTAGCCTCCCCTCATTGGCCCTGGTTCTGACCTCTGGGGCCAAATGGGACGAATCAACTTCCTCCTCTGTATATAGCTCTTCTCTCTCCCCTAACCCCTCTTCTCAAAACTAAATGTCCCAAATTCCTCCAACTAATGTCCACCTGTCACAAACTGGGCCCATCACCACTCCCCTATGGATACTCTCCAGTTAGAACAATTAGAAGTTTGGGGTGATCTCTGAAGGGCAGTTTCAGCACCTCAGTGGGAATAGAAGCCAGAAGGTGAGGGGCTCCTTAGGGTAGCTAGAAGCAGGAAGTGAGGCTACTTCTTCAGACAGCTGGACAGAGCAAGGGGGAGAGAGACAACATGGTGGGCAACCTGGTGAGGCCAAGGGAAGGCTCTTCTGAATATCTGGTTATAAACACCATCTAAGAATTCACAGGCATTTAAAGTATTCCAAAACAGAATGATAAAGTTTGTATTCAGTTGTAACTTAATTGCTCCAGTGATGAGATGAAATTAGTGATTCTCCCAAGAGAGACTTGGGGCTGATTTGTGGATTCATAGATCAGACCCTTGAGATTCTAGGATTCAAGGCTGTTAGAAGAACCAAACTGCTGCTAAGAAAGAATAGGGCCCAGAGGCACTGGTTACATGGCAGACTTCTGGGGCTAGAAAGACTCCCTGGCATTTTACAGTGGTGAGCTCTTTCCATACAACCTTGTGTTTCAAAGAGGGGCAGCTTTCGGACCACAAAGCCCATAAACCCACCCTCACCTGCCCTTGTCTTCCTCCTTCCCCGTGGCAGAACATAACTCAGGTCAGCCCAACAAAGCACTTGGAGGATTCCAGCCATTTTTATGAGTGAGCCTTCAGTAAGATGTAAGGAACAAGGATGAGGAGGCATGTTTATTTCAATTCTCCAAGAGACTGGAGGGTGGGGCGGCCTCCCCTCAGATGCCTCACATTCTAGGTCAGCTAGCTTGTGCGTACGTGGCCTTCTGAACGGGGCATTCCAAACCTGGGTGAGTCCATGGTGCCCACCAACACACACACACACACACACACACACGCGCGCGCGCGCGCGCGCGACAGGGATGGAAGCCCAGCCATGACTTTGGAGGACTTTTCAGAGAAGCAGAACCAGGAAGATTTCATGCACCAAACTGGCCTGCTAGACAATCATTTGTTGAGACATTTCATTAATTATCCTTAAATAGGGAGTACAGAAGACAACCCACTTGAACAGATCCCTGGCTGGGCTTCCTTCTGGGAGACTCTGCAGCCCCAACCACCTTTATGAAGGGCTTTAGTGAGCACAGTTCAGGTAGCGGTCAGTCAGTCATGGCGATCGCCTCCCTCCCCAGCAAACGAGTCATCAGGTCAACTAACATGCATATTTCCCTCCACATAGCACCTAAGGATGCAATTACACTTATGTACAAGATCCAGAGGCGGCGATTGGGTATACCTTAGCATTCTCTGAATTATAGGATTTTCCCGGGTCTCTCTCACAGGAGGAAGGATTTTAAAGGCAGGCAGCAGCTTAGAGTAATAGTCTAACCACCTCAATTTACAGACGAAGAAACTGAGGTGAAATGACTTGCCCAAGATTACACAAACTATACTACAGATGTGATTCAAACCCAGGTGCTCTGACTCCCAATCCCAGGTTTCCCACTATCCCATAGACTCAGGCCAACATCACTCCCTGCATCCCTTGAATCTGGTCTATGTCTCTAAGGCTCCTTATCTTCCATTTTCTTCCCTTGGGTTTCTGACAATCCTACAGTTGGCAGAGGGGCAAAGCCACCTGACTTTAACAGGAGATGTTATCAAAGGGGCAGTGCTGGAAGGGGCACGAGCCAGCCCTGCCTCACCAATTCCTTTCCATTTGGTGTCTTTCCTACTTCCTAGAAGGTTAGATAAAATACTTGCCTTGGAACAGGCAAGGAGACTGAGTGCAATGGAGAGTCTGGGCAAACTTCTGAGGAGCTGAGTGTGGGAAAGGACAGAGAGGTAACCTTCCATCTTTGAAAAAGGCTATTTCCCTAGGGAATGCGGCTCCTATTATATGCTGGAAGTTAGCAGGAAAATATGGGGTGACAGGCAGCTTTGCTCCAAGGACGACTCTTCAGCAAAGTGGGGAGGTGACGAGCATTGAGAAGGCTTGGCACTGTTCTAGTGCTCAGTGCTGTCAGAACAAAAGCCTTCACCAGCAGGAGGGGCCTGGGGCCCTCGCCACCTACAGGACCATTCAGAGTGTGATGGTGGCCAGCAGGCAGCCCAGGTCTCCCAGTTTCATGCTGGGCTACACCCAGGCAGTAGCAGCTCCCCAGAGGTCCATCTGTCATAACTTTGAAGGAATCTCCTCTCATGTTGACAAGTGCAGAGGAGACACATTCAAAGTCAGAGTCAGCCTCGATCATGGAACAAACAGTAAATGCATGGGCAACTTTCAGCAGACTGTGCCTGTAACCTGTGGTTTGCTGTAGTGACGAAAGCCTGTGGCCTCCCTTCTCACGATGCATCTAGGATACCCTCGAAACACCTTATTCTCAGATTCCACAGAGATGGGCCTTTCAGTCTGTGCCGACATGGCCTATGTCTTTGTACTGGTATCCCCAGGGCTTAGCGTGGGGCCTGGCACACAGTAGGTGCTTAATGTTTGTCGACTGATTAACCTATTTGATGATAATCAAGTCTGTGACTTTTCTCCAAGTGTTTGCAAGCCTCCCTTCTTTCAAATATCTTGAAATGAGACGCCCTTCCTCCCTCAGAATGGTGGTAGGGCAAGCCCAGCCCTGCCCTGTATATGTTTGGTCTGATTCAGATACTCTACTGGGGGTGAGGGGAGATGGCTGTAACATCCTGCCAGGGACAGACACATAGGAAAAGCTGTGAATGGGATGGCAAAGGGTTGCCTGGCAAAGGTAAACCAGTCACTTAGTGAGGGCACCCTGGGCTTGGATTGGCCTCCACACCACGTCTACAGATGGAGTGAAACCCTCCAGCATGATGGGGGGGGTGGCCTTCCAGAGGACATAGATAAGGGCCACATGAGATGAGAAGGGGTGAATGAGCTGTGACCTGCACCCACGGGAGTGAGAGCACAGATTCATGAAAGCGTGGGCTCCGTGTAACATGGACCAGCCCCCTGCTGCCTCTCACGGCTCACACCTCCGTGGGAAAGAGGGCTGGGCTGTTTGTCTCATACACTGCAAAGCTACAGACCCAGCTGGGCCCTACTCCTCTGCTTCCTTCACACTCCCTGCCATGCCTTGGAGGCCAGTGTCACCGCCTGCCCCCGAGGTTATTTGGGAGGCCTCTTCCACGTGGGCCTTCTCCTCCTGGGCCAGATCTGTGGGGTCCTCTTCAGCATGCCCAGGATCCGTTTCTGGCTGCTCCTCATTAGATGGATTGGAATCGACATCTGGCTCTTTTTCTAAGGAAAAAGATAAGTCACACGGTGAGTACTAGCCTGTGCCAGTTCTGTTCTCAACCTCATGACTCGCTCATTTAACTGAGAGCTACCGTCCTCTTCAGGGGCTGATAATCATGGTCACACCAACACACTCGGGGTAGGGCGCTTGAGTGAGCAGAATGGAGGCAATCACAATCAGGAAATCAGTTGGGGCGGTCCAGTCCTGGACAAACCATTTCCTGGGATTGCAGGAGAATAGATTTGGGGCTGGAAGGGGCCTCAGAGGGCGTCCACTCCAACCCTGCCATTTTACTGATGAGGAATTGAGCCCGAAGGATGTTAAGGACCTTCACTGATCATACAGCCTGAGCTGGAAGGGACCTCAAACGTCGTGTAGGTGAAACCCCTCATTTTACAGAAGAGGAAACTGAGGCCCAGAGAGGCTCAGTGGCTTATCGTGGTTCAAAGGAATAGTAAATGGCAGTGCCAAGACTGACACTCAGGTCCTGTGTCTACAAGTTCAGCACTCTTTCCACTGTACCACACTAACTCTAGGACAGGGCTTCCCTGAAGGTATAGTTCAAGCCCTGTATTTTGTGGCAAGAAGACTGAGGTGCAGAGAAAGAAAAAGGACGTACTGAAATACCACCAGGCTGCTAGGTGGTACAGTGGACAGAGCACCAGGCCTGAAATCAGAAAGACTCACCTTCCTGAGTTCAAATCCAGACTCAGACATTTACTAGCTGTGTGGCCCTGAGCAAGTCATTTCACCCTGTTTGCCTCAGTTTCCTCCTCTGTAAAATGGGCTGGAGAAGTAACCGGCAAACTCCTCCAGTATCTCTGCCAAGAAAATCCCAAATGGGGTCACGTACTGAGCAATAGCAACAATCCCCGTTCTGCCTCTCCAGCACGGCTTTATCTGTGATTTCACTGGCGCAGAGAGCTCCCAAGGTGGAAACCCCTCCAGTGGCGTCTTTAACCGTTAGGTCTGAGAGAGCTTTCTGGGCACTGAGGTATGTGTCAGACCCAAGACGTGACCAATTCAGGGGTCACTGCAATCATTCAGGTGAGCTGTAACAATGAAGCCGATAGCCACGTAAACAGTGAGAAGAGGCCAGATGAAAGAGAAGCGGTAGTAGCAGAAATGATGAGATTTGGCAACTAACTGGACATGTGGGATGAGAGACAGAGAGGAGTGGAGGATGATGCCAATGTGGCAAAATTAGGAGGCAGGTAGTGGAAGTGACTGAGTACTAAAAGTCTAGAACAGTAGATAGAGGGCTGGCTTTGGAGTTGGTAAGACCTAGGTTCAAGTCCCACTCCTTTGCACATAGTGGCTATGTAACCATGGACCTCAGTGCTCCAGGTGGTTCTCTAAGACTATAAGCTACATATGGGTTGTCAATCTGCCTTTGGAAAGAGTTTTTCCACAGTGGGAATTCTCTACACCCATCAAATCACAGGCTTAGAATCCCAGGAAGTAGGGAAGCCACTGTCCCCTCCAGAATGTCAGAGGCATGATCAGCATTTCCTGTGCCTGTCACCCCATGGCAGGATAAGTTGCTAGACTAAGGGTTTAGTGAGCCTTTCAATGATGATCTCTCCCAAACTGCAATTCTTTTCTCTGTGCTGCTGTCAAAAGAGCCATTTCATTTCATCACACATTTACTAAGCACTAATTAGGAAGAAATCATTATACTAAATTCTGGAGAGATACAAAGATAAAAAATTACTCAGTCCCTGCCCTCTAAGAGCTTCCATTCTACTGAGGGCAGGGGTACAACTGCCTGGTGCAGTGTAACTCATCTTTCCGCTGCCCACCTTCAAACCCCAGGGCCTGAGAACTCAGAGGAGCTCCAGCCACCAAACCTGCTCACCCTGGGCTGGTCTCTCTTCTTGCCTCTTCTTCTCTTTGGCAGCTTCCAGCTCTTGCTTCTCATACACAGCCTTCAGCACCTTACAGACTTTTTTATGAGTGAACCAGTGGATTTTCTGGCAATCCTGGTTGCAATAAATAACCTGAAAGTGATCAAGGAAGGTATTTCTGGTTCAGATCATTTCCTGAAAAACCCCCAACTTGCTCTTCACTGGAAAAACTGGATTTTTGACAACACATTCATCAATCAAAGGAAAGCATTTGTTAAGTGTCCGCTTTGTGTTAAGCACACCCTTGGAAAGCACGGATGTGAAATGATCTAAGTTACACTGTTCAAATGAGGCTCTGGGACCAAACTGAGCTTGACCAAACAGAGAGGTCGAGGGTTGGAAGAGTAGAGAGAGACAACAAGGAAGACACTAGGGCAAGAACTTGCCAGTTAGTTCAGAAACAGGATAGTAATTGACCAGGAAAATAATATATATTAAGAGGGCATTGACCTCAAGGGTTAGTGGACTGGGAAATGGTTCCGTGAACGAATGAAGAGAGAAGGAAAAAGCATTTATGATGTACTTACCATGGGCCAAGCCTATGCTGAGTGCCACAAGCAGGCAGTGCCATCTTACCAATGAGGAGTCAAGGAGAAACAAAAGGATGCTGGCAGAAAGCTCCCTGACCAGACGAAAGGAAGCCATAGGGGATATGGAGTAGAAGCCCTTGTGCTCTCCCAGCATCCACACAACGCCAAGCAGGCCCTGGCTCAGTGGGTAAATCCCTTGTGGATGATTTATGGGGGATGAGTCCACATGGGATACAATGACATTGACGATGTGCCATGTTGGAGGAGCACCCATACCAAAGACATGGCAGACCCATCAACATGTCTGTGCTGCCTCGGAATCTGTTGGGATTCCCATTCAAGCAGGGTGTTACCCTGAAATCAACTACTCATCTTACCATTTTACACACTGAACACCTCTTGTTTGCGCCCTTTTCTCCACACGTGGTGCAAAACTCCACATCTACAAATCCCACTTGACCAGTGATGGCTTGAGTGAGCACAGAGAAGGCTGTAGGATCAGAGCCCTGAAGAAGGAAAGCAGGGCATGGCACAGTCAGAGGATAAAGGGGACAATGAGATCTCGGTCATCTCAAAGGTAGATGAGCATCGAACACAAACACAAAAGTGAAATCACAACTGTCGCCCCGTAGAGTCCACCCTGGCCCACCAGCCTCAGAGCATGAAACCAGAGCCAAGACGTGGGCCTTAAAGCAATGGGAATATTTTAATTTGGTGCATTTATAAAATAGTATTAAGGAATTTAAGTGCATTGGAAAACATTTCATGCAGCCAATTTTGCTACTACAATTGCTAATTCAGGAGAGCTAGACCCCTCCTGGTTCTTTTTAATGAAAAAGCAGTCTCCAAGTGATTGTACTGGGGTTAAGAAGGAAAATTGAGAATATGAAAATCATCACCCTAAGGGTACCAAAGGGGATTTCCTACATCTCCTGACCATGGGTCACTGAGAATAGAATGGCCATCCCTTTGCCTTGGAGGGTTTGGACTAGGAAGTAGGAATGACCAGCCACCAAGCCACTGAGCATTTCGTAATATCTTACTGGCTCCCAGACACTGTGCTAAGCACTGGTTTTCACCAGAGGGCAGCACAGTCACTGTGCTCTTTTTATGGGTTTAAAGGCCCATGATTTCCTATGTCCCTGGAGTGGCGGGACAGCACCACCCCATGCCAGTCACCCCAGAATGGAAGGGGCTGCCTCAGGTCGGGGTGGGCTCTTCCTCACTGAGCCATGGCCGGATGGCCACTGGCTGGGGATGTAAGTGGGGATTCTCGCTCACATGAGACATCCCATTGATGGTCTCGGAGGTCCCTTCCCTGTCTGAGAGTTGATAATTTGAACAATTTGGCCCAAATCAGAGTGGGAGGTGCAGGCAAACACTTCTCCACTTTCCCTCCCAGAAGAACAAATCCAATGCCCCAAGGCTCCTAGCCGCTCCCACCCTTTAGCCCTGCCTGAGTCCCAGCTCTCTGGGTTCAAGGGGAGTCTTACAATTTCCACGGGGGCAATGCTTCTGACAAGCTGCTGGAGGAGTGTGGTTTCACAGTAAGGGAACTTCCGAATACACTCTCGAATGAACTTCTCTTGGTAGACGGGAAAGCCATCTGTCTCTCGGCCTTTTAACAAACTAGAGAGGAAAAAAAAGGTAGAAACACGCTCAAAGGCTCATTTTCCCAGGGGCTGTTACTTCATATATGAAAAGGAGAGGCCAAGTATGTGAGAGCTGGAAGGCCTGGTTTAAATACCCTTCTGATCCTCACTATCTGTGAGACCCTCTCTGGGCCTTCAGGGCCCTCCTCTATAAAACGGCACCTCCAAAAGGGACCCTCCCCTTCCCCATTCCTGTTAGAGCACCAGCACCCTCATCCTCCTAGGCACCCAGCGGTCATCCTCTACTCCGCATTGGCTTTCCCCCACATCCAATTGCACCTCCCACTCTGATTTGGGCCGAGGCCCACTCGTTTTACTTTGCAGTGGCCCCCTTCTTTCCTCAGACACAGCCTCCACCTTGGTGCAGGCCCTCACCACCTCCCGCCTGGACGACTGCAGCAGCAGCTTTGGGGGAAGGGGGCCGGCCTGGCTCAGGTCTCTCCTCCATTCAGCTGTAAAAGCGATCGCCTCAGATTGGGGGAGGGTTGCCCATGTCACCCCTGTCCTTCTCTTTGCACTCAAAGCCCTCCTAACCTGCCTGCTTCACTTTTCCAGCCCTCTCATACCTTACACTCGTCCCCCTGGCCACATACTCTGTGACTCAGTTGCCCTGGCTTCCTTCATGTTCCTCAAATAGCACATTCCATTCCCAGACTCCAGGCACTGTCACTGGCTCTCCCACGCTTAGAAAGCCTTCCCTCTTCCTCTCCATCACCTAGTTTCCTTCGAGTCTCTTCCACAGGAAGCCCTTCCCCATCCCTACTTGCCACATCTCGCCCTTTCGTCAAATGTCACCTGTCACTGGCAAGAAGTGCAGTTAATTTAGTGGTGCTGCAGCCTGCCCACATGAAGGGGCCACGGCATCATTGCCTCTAACACTCTCCTTTTACACATGAGGTAACTGAGGAAGCATGGGGAGGCCCCGTGGCCGCAGGCACAGCCAGGAAGGCCACTCCCACCCTCGGACGAGCCCAACAGCAGAGGCAGCCACGTTGTGCTCTGGCCCAGGGTGTGGCTCTCCCGTGGACAAGCTCATGTCTCTCCACCTGGCTGCGAGCTCCTCCAGGGCAGAGACCATTTTTGCCTCTCTTGGTATCTGTAGCACTTGGTGCAGCGTCCGGCTCACAGCAGGAACTTGATAAAAGCTGCGGACTCGACTCCAGCCACGATACGGCTCCTCCACCAACACACCCCACTGTTATGGACATACAGAGATGTCCCAGGATTTGAGATTAGGAGCTACAAGGGGCCTGGGAGTTTACGCAGTCTGACCGCCTTATTTTACAGATGAGGAAACTGAGGCCCAGAGGAATGAAAAGTTGGCAGCAGGCCTGGTTGAGCCCACACTCGCTGTCACGCCACTGCCCCATCCCTCTTCCCGCAAGAACCATAATCCCACCTTTTGATGAAACCATCCATCTTGTCTTCTCGCTCGGTCAAGAACTTAATGCATTTCTGGAAAATGCAGCTGATGTAATGCATCTTCATGGCCAGGACCTCGTTCATGTCCCTCTGCTTCATGCACTTCTCACAGATCAGGTCCATCACTCGGTAGCATTTTTTCAGGGCGTCCTCCTCGGCCAGAAGAGGGTTTTCTTTTACAAGCATCACAATCTTCAAGAAATAGCAACAAACTACATTTAATGGGAATCTATATGTAAAGCCTACATCAGACTGTGAGCTGTCTGGGGGAGAGAGGGGGAGAAAAATTTCAAACTCAAAGCTTGTGGAAGTGATTATTGAGAAATCAAAATAAATTAATAAAAATTTTTTAAAAAAAGAAATAGCAACAAACTCAAATATGTGAGGAGGCATCTCCCTAAGCGCACCCATTAACAGACTCAGAATATAGTTTGTTAATAATGATTATAACCATGATGGCAGCTGGCATCGATGCAGTGTTTTAAGGTTTACAAAATAGTTACTTAGTTAACCCTCAAAACAACCCTTCGAGGTAGATGCAATTATGCCCATTTTACAGAAGAGGAAGCTGAGGCTGAGCACTTGCCAAGGGTCACAGAGCCAGCAAGTATCCGAGGCAGGACAGAAATTCCAGTTTTCCTAACTCCAAGGCCAGCCCTCCATACACACGGCCACTTCTTGCCTTGAGTCAACTTCAGAGAGTGTTCAAAGCAGAAAGCAACAATTAGCCTTCCAATTAGTTCCTTCATTAGTTTCCCTTCTGTGTCAAGTAAAGACTGCCAGGAAAATTGGAAAGCAGGCAGGCGGAAATTAGGTTTAGACCAACATCTCCCATCATTTACCAAGATAAGCTCCAAATAAGACACATGACTTAAGACATAAAAGTTTATATCATAAACTTGAGAAGCAAGGAAGGAATTACTTTTCCTATCTTTGGATGCAGGAAGAGTTCATTACCAAAAAAAAAAAAGGAATAAAGAGGACCACAGAAGATAAGACAGGTAATTTTATTTAAATAAAATGTAAAGGTTTTCATTCAAACCGAACCAAGTGGTTGATGTTGGAAGGGAAACAGTCAACTAGGGGGAAAAAATCTTCCTAGAAAGTTTCTGTGATAAATAATTTCCTAGGAAAATAAATTATTAAAGTCTTTCCTAGGAAAGGAAATTACTAAAATCTTTAAGAATAACAACCATTTCAGTCTAGCCATACCAGATCTCAAACTGTATTATAAAGCGGTAATTATCAAAACAATCTAGTACTGGCTAAGAAACAGAATGGTGGATCAGTGAATAGGTTAGGTATAAATTACATTATGCTAAATGACTATAGTAATCTGGTATATGACTATAGTAATCTGGTATATAACCCCAAAGATCCAAATTTTTGGAACGAAAACTCATTATTTGACAAAAACTGCTGGGAAAACTATAAAACATTATGGCAGAAACTAAGTATAGACCATGATCTCACACCATCTACCAAGATAAGGTCACCAAGGGTATATGATTTACACATAAAGGGTGATCCCATAAGCAAATGAGGAGAGCATGGAATAGCTTATCTGTCAGACCTATGGATAAAGGAAGAATTTATGACCAAATAGAGAGCACTACAACATGCAAAATAGATAACTTTTATTACATAAGATTTTAAAGTTTTTGCACAAACAAAACCAATGCAACCAACATTTGAAGGAAAGCAGAAAACTGGGGGAAAAGTTTACAACAAGTATCTCTGATAAAAGCCTTATTTCTCAAATGTATAGAGATGTGAGTCTAATTAATAAAAATACAAGGCATTCCCCAATTGATAAATGGTCAAAGGATATGAACAGGAAGTTTTTGGACAAAGAAATCAAAGCTATTTATAGTCACATAAAAAAATGCTCTAAATCACTACTGATTAGAGAAATGCAAATTAAAATAACTCTGAGGTACCATCTCATACTATCAGATTGGCTAATATGTCAAAAAAGTAAAATGATAAATCTTAGAGGGGATGTGGGAAAACTGGAGCACTAATGGTGTTGTGAACTGATCCAACCATTCTGGAGAACAATTTGGAACTCTGCCCAAAGGGTAATCAAACTGCATACCCTTTGATCTAGCAATACCACTGCTAGGTCTATATCCCAAAGACAGGCAAAAAAGAGGCAAAAGGACCTATTTGTACAAAAATATTTATAGGAACTCTTTTTTGTGGTGGCTAACAACTGGAAATCAAAGGGATGTCCATCAATTGGGGAATGGCTTAACAAGCTGTGGTATATGATTGTAATGGAGTATTATCATGCTGTAAGAAATGAAAAGCAGGATGATTTCAGAAAAAAACTGGAAAGACTTACATGAACTGATGCATAGTGAAGTGAGCAGAACCAGGAGAACACTGTACATAGTAACAGCAATATTGTTCGATGACGAACTGTGAATGACTTAGCTATTCTCAGCAATACAATGATCCAAGACAATCCCAAAGGACTAATGATGAAGAATACTATCTACCTCCAGAGAAAGAACCAATATTGATTGAATACAGACTTCAGTGTGCTATTTTTCACCTTCTTCCATTCTTTTTCTTTCATTCAAGTCTTCTTGTAAAAAATGACTAATACGGAAATGTTTTACATGATTGCACATGTGTAACCTATATCTGATTGCTTACCGTCTCAGGGAGGGGGAGGGGGAGGGAAGGGAAGGAGGGACAGAAGGTCAGAATTTGGAGCTCAAAATTAAAAAAAAAATCCAAATGTTAAAAAAAATTGTTTTAACATGTAATTAGGGGAAAAATAAAATATATTAGAAAAAAAAGAATAACAGCCATTCCTAAGTGATAAGCGGTCAAGAGATATGAACAGGAAGGATTTTTTTTGTTTGTTTTTGCTTTTGCTTTTTTTTGGTGAGGCAGTTGGGGTTAAGTGATTTAGCCAGAGTCACACAGCAAGTGTCTGAGGCTAGATTTGAACTCAGGTCCTCCTGACTCCAAGGCACGGGCCACCTAGCTGTCCCTAGGCAGTTTTTAAGGGAAGAAATTCAAGCTACTAACAGCCTTAAAAAACAAAACTGCACTTCAGATCACTAATAGTTATAGAAATGTAAATAATTGTAAATAGGAGGTTCCACCTCACATTCATTAGATTAGCAAAGCTGACAGAAATGGAAAATAACAAATGTTGGAGGAGTTATGGGAAAACAGCCACATCAATGCCCTGTTGTTGGGGCAGTGAGTTGGTCAAACGATTCTGGAAAGCAATCTGGAACTACACCCCCAAAGTTACTAAACTGTACACACCCTTCCACCCAAATGTCCTACTGTTACTAACAAACTCAGAGATGAAGGAAAGAGGAAAAGAGCCTGTATGTGCAAACATATTAATAAGTGAATCTTTTGTGGTGTCCAAGGACTGGAAACTAAGATGAAGCCCATCAACTGGGAAATGGTTGAACACATTATGGTATATGAATGGGATGGAATATTATTGTGCTATAAGAAACGACAAAAGGAACTCTTTTAGAGAAACCTGGAAAGATTTATATGAACTGACGCAGGGTGAATATAACCAGAACACTTTATACAATAGCACCTTTGTAAACATGAACCATTTTGAAAGAACTCTAGTCAATGCAACTGGCAACCATGAGTCTTTAGAACCAATGGTTAAAAATGCTACTCTTTTTCCAGAAAAATAAACTTAGGGTACACACCACTGTTTTTTGGGACACGGTGCACGACTAAATATTTGTTACAATGGGTTTTCTCTCTTTGTTAACTGAAAAAACATAAAATTTAATTTAAAAATGAAAACTAGTAACATGTCATCTCACCCTTCACCTAGAGGGAAGACCTGGGATAATGCCTAGCCCTCCTCACCAAGTTTTGGGCACCAGCAAAGCCTGGCCCATCTACATCTGAAGAGGAAGAGAGAGAGACAGACATGGAGAGAGTGACCGAGAGAGAGAGAGAGAGAGAGAGACAGAGGGAGAGACAGAGAGAGAGAGACATAGAGGGAGAGAGTGACAGAGGGAGACAGAGCCATAGAGGGAGAGACAGAGAGAGACAGAGATAGAGAGATAGACAGAGAGAGAGAGAGAGAGAGAGAGAGAGAGAGAGAGAAGAGAGAGAGAGAGAGAGAGAGAGAAAGGGGAGAGAGAGAGAGAGAGAGAGAGAGAGAGAGAGAGAGAGAGAGAGAGCGAGAGCGCGAGAGAGGATTCTGCAGAAAAAAAATAGAGAGATTTTCCTTCCAAATAAATTCCTGGGAGATTTCTAAGGAAGTGCTGGGGCTGGCTGCCCATCTCTTGTGGCCATGTAGGGAAGGAAGAGAAAGGACAGACTGAAAATCACTTCCATTAGCAGGATCATAATTTGGGCAGTAAGAGCAAAGTTCCTAACCTTCCTGCACTTGGGTGGAGGGGTTCATGGGGGCTCCCTGGGCCTGCTCTCCAGGTGCACTGCCACTGACAGGGAGGGCTCTGTCTTTTCTAAGAGCAATCCCTCAAAAGTCCTGGGGATGGTTTGCTACTCATGGGCCAGTCCAGAGCTGCTGGGTGAAGTCTCAGACCTAAGGGCAGGGCAGAAAGGGATGTCCTTTCCTGCTGTGAATTACTGGCAGAGTCAGTCTGTGGACAGGCACTATGCAAGGTGCTGCTCACCAATGAAGTGGTCCCTGCCCTCCAGAATCTTACATTCTAGCAGATGGACACAATGTCTACAGAGATAAGAAAATACAAAACATCCAAAGTCTCTTCAGAGGGAGGGAATCAGAGCACTTGGAGGAGGGAAAGGAGGGGGAGAGATGAGGCACGGTGTGACGGAGAGAAAAACCAGGGGAAGGCAGGGGCTCAGAAAGACTCAGGGATGAGGCAAGGATTGGGCTGTTTATAGCCTGTTAGCCACAAGAACATCTCTGGGTCTTGATTAAAGCTTTCATCACAGGCAGGGCCAGCAGGAAGTCTAGAACGTCAGACCTGAGGCAAAGGGCCGGCTTGACAAAGTAAGTGTACATGAGACCTTGGCTAACCAGACGGGAGCTTTTTGTCATCTCCTCTCAACACCAGCCGGTCTCTCCATCCATGACTTGCCCATGAGCTTGAACCCGGGAGCAAAGAACAATTAGCAAACCTGTTTACACACTGATTATTACTTATACCTGTTTGTTTGCTGACACTGAGGTCTCCTTAGGAAGCAGGGCTCTTTCACTATTTTCATACAGAGACAACGGTAGCAGAAGCTCGCTAGGGGTAAGCTTCTAGCTGAACTCTGATGGCTTTGTCCGTCTCTCTCCCTCTATCTCTGTCTCTCTCTCTCTCTCTGTCACTCTCTCTCCCTCTATGTGTCTCTCTCCCCTCTCCCTCTTTCATTCTCTTTCCCTCTATGTCTCTCTCTCTCTCTGTCTCTCCCTCTATGGCTCTGTCTCTCTCTCTCTCCCTCTATGTCTCTCTCTCTCTTCCTCTTTCTGTCTCTTTGTCTCTCTCTTTCTCCCTCTCTCTGTCTCTCTCTCCCTCTATGTCTCTCTCTCCCTCTTTCTGTCTCTTTGTCTCTCTCCTTTCCTCTTTTCTCTTCTCTCCTCTGCTCACAGCCTCAAACACGGGCTTGGTTCAGGCAGCATAAGAGAGTCTCCTACATACTATCACTGATCCTGTTTCCTCAGAAAGGGTGGCTGGGGCTCCAGAGTCAGTGGCCAATTAAAGGCAGGCCCATCTTGTCTACACTTGCCTCCTAGGGGCCCATTCCCTGGAGCTCTGCTGACATCCCTTGCTATACCTTTGTTGTTTTCTTTTAACGATATATGTTGCAGATTCTGGGCAAGGAGTCCAAATCCCCCTGTGCTGCCTGAGTCTCACAAGAGCCCAAGCAAACCTCTGTTGCCATAGTGACCCGAGGGCTGTGATGTTGCTGTACACGCAGCTACAATTCAATGAAAAGATAAGTCACAGAGGTGGCGGGAAGGGAGGGCTTCATGCTTCTGTAACAGGTTTAGGGGTCAGCTGGTCTGGGGTTGTGTGGGGAAGCAGTCTGCTCTGTCTTGGGAGGCTCCCTGTGAACATGGGGCCTCATGAACAAGGGCTCATATGGCATCACTGGGCCTCCAGGAAAAGCATAGAGAGAGGGTCTCCAGAGTGTGGCTGAAGGAACACTGGTGCCCAGACTTGTAGATCTAATTAGGCCCAGCCACAGGTGGGCTGGGTTTAGGTCTGAAAGAGAAGGCCAGGGGGCCACAGGAGGGTGGCAGGATCTCTGCCTTCTCAGTATTTAGAGGGCCACCTGTGGAGGAGGGCCCAGGCATGCTGAGTCCCAAGGGCAGAAGGAGGAGCCATGGGTGTGGGGAGGGCGGTCAGGGCAGGTGTCCTAAGCCTCCAAGCTGTGGCAAGGGGGATGGGCCACCCTGGGAGGCAGCTGGCTCACGTTCCTGGGAGATCTTTAAGGCTGGATGCCCACTGGTCGTGGGTGTGGCAGAGGGGACACTCAGTCAATCGGGGCTTCGGGTGTGCTGGGGGCTGAGATTCTGGGAAGGAAGGCATTGCGGGGATGGGACCTAATTCCAGCAGGCTCGGCAGCTCCCAAGCTCTCCTAAGCTGATTTCCAGAGTCTGCTCTTCCAATGACTCATCTCTTTTGTAACAGATGAGTCTCTGAAGTAAAAGCTTCATCATGCTTTCAGCCTTTAAATAGTTTGATCCAGGGGACTACAGGCCTCTAGTTTGAACCTAGGAGATGAGGATACCTGAAAAAAGTCCCAAAGAGTGAGGCCTCTCTGGCTACGTGAAAGGAGGGAGGTCTCCAGAAGGGAGGGATCAGAAAATCACTGGGAGGGAGGTGGGGATTCTCCGGCTCATCAGACACAGAGCTGGAAAGCACCAACCTGTCAGTCTTTGCCTAAAAGGGCCAGGTCAATAATACTGGAAATTACCTTTTGTTTTTTCAAAGGTTAGCATTCAGGGTGGGTACGGTCTCCATGAGTCACACAAACACAAAGTGCCCAGGTAGATGACTGTGCCCCCAATGCCCCAAGGAGCACAGAGGCCTGGGCACCCAGAGCAGGCTCTGTCTCAGTGGGGGTAAAGTGAAAGTCCTCCACTTTATCAAGGCTCACAGGGAGGGGGGCAGTTCCTCTGGCCAGAGGGCCACTCGTCACAGCATTTGGCGAATTCCACACCTACGAGGGCATCAGGACCAAAGCCTCAGGTGCCAGGCCTCCTGCCCAGACCAAAGCCTCACATACCAGGTGTCACATTGCCAGGACCTGGCCAATGGCAAGGCAACAAGTGTAGGCACATACGTCATGAGCAGGCTACCTTCTCCCTGTGCATAAACCCCTCTCCTTCCTGGGATCAGGCGAGGGCATCAGACCCAGATGCCCAAACCCATCTCCTTGTGGGCTCAGCCTCTTTGTCCCTGGTATCTGAAAGACGGGCCTTGAGCGTGGCAGCCCAGCCAAGGGCTGCTTCCCCCATGTCCGGCTGGCATGCACCCCTTTCTATCTCCTTTCCCCTAATCTAAAACAGCAAAGCCCCTCCCTTCCCTGCTCCTTCTCTAGGCTTTCACATCTCCAACCACCTGTTCTGCCCCACTCCTCCACTGGGCCCCCTGAAGCCTCAGTGCTCATGGCCTGCTCTCCTTCATCTTAGGTTTCTGTGTGGAACGCTTTTACAGTCTCCTTGCACCACCGAACAGCCAACCATGCTGTCCTTCCTGGGCCCCCTCTGTGTCCCTGGCCCAGGGACTGCCTGCTAGCAATCAGACACTGCTCTGCCCTTGAGGTGGCCTCTCTCCTCCGGCTCGCCCAGGCCACAGACAGCTGCCCCCTGGGCTGCAGTTCATCCTCTCTCCTTTCTCACAGAGGTCAGTGCCTAGCTCACTCTGTCTCTCCGTTCCCACCTCTGCTCTTACGCAGGAGGATTTCAATATTCAGACTAAGGTCCCCACAGTCTGGATTCCTGTGCTGTCATGTTCTGATAACCCATAACCTCTGCCCCACCTCAGCCACCCACAGGGGTAGTGCCACCATGGCTCAGGGCTGCCTGTAAGTTTTCTGAACTCTGAGATTTGCCCTCCCTGCTCACAACCCCAGGCCTTCCACCCCTCCCCATGCCTGGCTCAGTCATCCACCCCATCTCCAGACACTGCACCCCTCCTAGCCCTGCCAGGCATCCTGCCCCCCTTCCCAGTGCTACTCCAACAGCTGCTCAGCTCAGCTACCCCCGACCTCTGCCTCTCAGTCCCAAGCTCTGCTCCTGTCCTTCTGCCCCCGTGGCCTGGACAAACTCCCAAGCTACCTCGGCTGCAGGATCTGCCTCCATCAGCTTCGAGGTGGAAGGGCCCTCTTCTTGGTCACCCAGGCTTGGGACATCAGAGCCCTCTCTCCCTCTCCCCAAATCCACCATCAGGTGCAAGGTCTTGTCCACACTGAGAGTACACCTCCTCTCACATCTGTCCCTTCCTCTCTACTCACACGGCACCCAGCCTGGGTCAGGCCCTCGTCAGCTCTCACCTAGGCTGTGACAACGGGCTCCCGATTGGCTCCCATACGTCCCATTAATCCCCTCACCAACTGGCCTCCTCACAGCTGCCAAAGCAATCTTCCTAAAGCACGTCTAACCCTGCCCCTCCTCAGTTTGGCTCCAACCTCCTGTAGATCACTGGGCTATGGCGGCACAGCCCTGGACAGAGTAAAGATGACCTTCAAGAATATGGGCGAGTCACTTAACTCTTCCTTGCCTCAGTTTCCTCTCTGGTAAAATAGGACAATCATATGAGTAACACTATTGTAAGATGCAAATGAGATGATGCAGGTAAAATGATTCACAAATGTTAAAAGCCCCACAGGAATGTCAGCTCTGAGTGCGGAGCAGCAAGTTCAGCTGGGGCGGGGACACAGTTCCCAGTCACTCACTGGTCCTGTGACTCGGTCTCAGTTTCCTCATCTGGAAGATGGACATAAAAGAAGCACTGACCTCCCAGGTTGTGGTGAAGAGCACAAGCGTATGGCCCACTGCCACCCCGTCCCCGCGGGGCAGGACACCCTGTCCCCACGAGCGGTGCCTCAGGGATGCTGAGCTTCCCCTAGAAGTACCTTGACCGGATGGAGATTGGTTGTGGTGACCATCTTGTGCAGGGGCCCTGCCAGCTTTGGGGGCAGCCTGGGCTCCTTCTCGAGTCCCTGGGGTTTCGTGTAGTAATCCAGCCTCTCTCGGGGACAGAAGTTGTTAATCACAGTCACGCAGTCGTGCTGGCCTGGGAAAAGCAGCAGCCACTGAGAAGCCTCATCTGGGAGCACGGTACAGGCCTGCCTATGTTCTAGTCAGGCTTCCTTCCCCATGGCCCTAAGAGGAGAACCTGGGCTGCTGTGACTGCTCTTTATGAGGACTTGTGGGACCCTGGCTCTCAGTGCCCCTTCCCCAAGCATCTTGGATTTGCATAAACTTGGAATTTATATGAATGTCTACATACGGCTCCCTCAATAGAACAGAATAGAAACTCCTTGAAGGCAGGGCCCAGTTCCCTGTTTGTCTTCATGTCCCCAGCACCACGCACAGTGCTTTGCACATATCAAACTAGGCAAGTGTCCCAGAGGCTCACAGTAATCCCGCACGCACTATCTTCTAATCTCTGACTCTTGACTTCTACCATGGCAGCCACACCACTGATGAGGCTGTCACGATTTTTAAATAGCTCCGAGCAAAGAGCTTTATACACAATTTCTTGCTGAAATATCTAACTGGGAAGGCAGAAACGAGCTGTTTGCTCGCTCTCACTGAAGAACTGGGATCCCCCGGTGCCCCTCCTGTCTCTTCCCTGAAACCTATCTAGTTTCCTTATCCCAAATCTAATTCCTTTCTACAGAAGGTTTTTCTTTTTCCTTTCCTTGGGCAATGAGTGGGCTTGAAAAATACCTGTCTTACTATGAAGTGAATAGGGTTCCCTATGAAATAGGTAGCTTGGCTTGGACTTCTCACTCTGCCTCCCCAATTAAGCTCACAGCCTCTTCTCTGACTCTCTCAAAGCAGAAAATGCCAGATATGGGAAGGTAATCTTTGCCCAGAAAGGCCCTCTAAAGGTATCTACTCTCTCAGTCAATAACCCTTTGCCTCCTTCCATTCTAGAACACCCTTGTCACTACCCCCCAAAATCTGGGCACTTAATTGAGCACATTCCAGATGAGCAAATACTTCCAAGACTCATTTCCAAATGGTATTGCCTTCTGACCTTCACTCTACTCAGCCCAATAGGGCTAGGGTTCACTGGGGCTCCAGAGAACATTAGAGAATGAACCAGGGAAGACATTTAATAAACATTGGATATAGACTACTCATTACCAAAGCAGCTGGAGCTCTCTTATGACTTGGGCTCTTTCCTCCACAATCACTACCTAGGAGAACCAAGTCCAGGGGAAGGATTCTGCTTCATAACCCATTCCTTATAAGGGAATCAGCCGCCGGGACATCTATTTCTCTAAGAGAATCATTTTCCTGGTTTGAGAAATAGCTTCCTAAGGCACAGGCCTGACCTCTCACACCCCTGCTCAGTCTCCTGGGACCTTATTTTAGACGTCACCTGAGAGGGGAGCCTGGAAGGAAGGCTAGAAAAAAGATGTTTAAAAAGAGCTAAGCAAGCTGGCTAGCCTTTGCCCAGGCTGCCCTTCCTTCTTGATCTCTGCCTGTAAAGCTCTATGGCTTCCTTCCAGGCTCCCCTCTCAGGTGACGTCTTGTATCAGAAGGCTTGTCTATCCCCTGTTAGCTGTCAGCCCTCTCCTTCCCCGAAGAACCTCACTTTCACTTATTGGCCTGTATGTTGTATGCCCTAGTGAATGTAAACTCCCTGAAGGCAGGGGCTGTTTGCCATGTTGTTCTCTGTCTCCTCATCCCCCAGACCAGGGTTGGCATAGAGGAGCTGCTCAATGAATGGTTGTTGAATTGTGGAGGGAAAAGATGCCGACTTAAGAACATGGCATTTATTAAGGGCTTTCCCATCCTTCCTGGCTTCTCTCAAGAGCTATAAGAGCCTGCCATACCCATCTCACTACCATCCCCATGGCATGTGTCCATTTCAATAAGGCCAGCCAAAAGGACCAGCATAGAGAGGGGAGAAATCTGTGGCCAGTATTCCAAAACACAACTGACAGCTGATGTCAAGGGGGCATTTGAAATGTCAAGTGATTTTCATCCCAAAGAGACAATGTTGAGCAAACTTTTTTCATGAGCTGCCCCCCACCCCCAATCACTGATAGCATTTGACTAATTACCCACAAAGGCTGCCATCTGCGCCGCTGTCCTGCCAACTGAATTCACAACATCCGTGTCTGCTCCAGCTTCCAGCATTAGCCGAGTAATCTCCTTATTTCCTAGAGTTGAAAGGAATATGTGCCTTACCCTTAAGGGCAGTGTAATTTTAAACATTTTTCCCCAAGACTCTTGAAAGGTTTTGTCTGGTAAATCTTTTTGCAGTTTCAGAATTGGCATCAGTTAGGCTCACAGGGAATAGGAGCCGGGACTATCTGGACTGCAGACCCTGTCTCTGGCCCCCCCTGGATATGACCTGGGTGAGGTTTAACTCGCTCAGCAGGACTAGAGGCCTCTTTCCAGACTTATTGCTGGGCAGTGCAGACTGGAGATCGAGCTGGACTGGGACTGGGTTAAGATTCCATCCCAGATACTTCCTGGCTATGTGATGTTGGGCAAATCACCCAACCTCTCTAGGCCTCTGCTGCTTCATCTGGAAAATGAAGCCACTGGACTCGATCACCTCTAAAGTCTGACTTCCTCTACATGTACTTTGCCAAATATACATTAGGTTTTAAATTTTTTAAAAAATAATCTCAGCTTTGATGAAGGGGGAGGACAATTTATCAAGTCCTTCTTGAAAAACCTAAGTTGGCATCAGTGCCGCAGTGTAGAGGAAAAAAAACCCTTTAAGAGCTCGATGATTAGGGAGCAAGGAAACACTTGCCAGAGTTAAACAAAATGTGAAAGTCCAAGAAGGTGGAAGGCTCCCCCTCAACTCACCAGAAAGTCCAGCGAACATCAGGGCCGTGTAGCCGTGTTCATGCTCATTGCAGTTCACGTTGGCCCCATGTCGCAGGAGCATACGACACATGTCCATTTTTCCTTTGTACGCTGCATGCATGAGTGGCGTCATCCCGTGCTTTGGAGAAAAGCAAAGAAAGGGGAGAGGTCAGTTACACAGGGCGATGAGGAAAGTCAGAGAACTAACTGTGAGCAGAAGATCATGGCTCCATAAAGCACGGAGACAGGCGGGGGCATCGATGGGCATGGACCCTTTCTCGAGTTTGAGAAATGACATCCATGTTCCAGACAACCCCCATGGCAACCACAAGCACAATGAACAAGTGACTTCACCGACTTCAGTACGTGCATTTCAAGGGTGCCGGGGTGAGAATGGCGTTGAGCATCTTTTATTTGTCACATAGCAAAGCCACAAGAGCTCATTCACAGCATTCAAGATGCCCCAGCTCTAGGGAGACGCTCAAGGGCGTGCTGTTATCTGTGTTTGCCTGTCCCACCTGGGGCTTGGTGACCTTGCGAGGCTGACCACCTTCTGCTCCTCCCTAAAGTGCCTCGTTCAGGGCCGGAATCCACAAGCAGGGATCGGTCAATACTGCCCAATTCCTTGGACACAGACCCTCACCAAGATTTGGTTTTGCTTTCCATAGCAAGTTTACCATAGTTGGCACCCTCCCAACTCAACTGATTCCTTTCCTTTGAAGTCATAGCCAACTGCCTATGAGCCCCTTGTATTCTTCCTGACCACAGACACTTTGAAAGACAATACAAGGAATGCTGTAAAATCGAATTGTTTGATATTTGGCCAGTAAAGACTCTTGGGATTCCCTTTATAAGTCATGGCTCATGTTTCTAAGCGATAATATAGAAATATATTTTTTACAATGGGAAAACCCACCCCAAGGCAACCAGTGGGCTTACCTTGCTCGTCACCAAATTAAAGACTCCAACCCCCATCTGGTCATTTTGCACATCAGAGATGTTCAGTGACTTACAAAGGTCACATAGGAAGTGAGATCTGAAGCCAGGTCTCCAGACACCCCACCTAATGCTCTTCCTCCTGTCTCTGGCCACCCCCAGACCAGTCTTTAACTGCAGCCCTTTTAGGAAGATCTATGTGTGCTTCATTTTCCTTTCCTTACCACTAACAAGGCTCTCCAGCTAGCCCGCTTCTTGTCCCAGGGCATGGCAGCAGAGATCTGGAGCTGGAAGGTGGTGTACAAACCCCACCCCCATTTACATAGGGGACAAAGAAGCCCAAATAGGGGGAGTGACACAGGACTGGGACTTCATCCCGAGTCCACGCCAGGGTGAGCTTCGAGGCCCCTCTGGGCCACCCCTAATATTCCCCAGGAGCCCAAGCTCAGCCCCTCCCTTTCTTATGAGCAAACTTCTCTTCTGTAGGCCAATGGCCATCCCCACACTCCTGCCCTGAAACCTGGCTTGGCTCAGCTGAACTCCCTGCCCAAGGCTCCTAGCTCTACCACAGGACTCCAGCTCACTTCTAGAACATTCACCTGCCATCAGCAGATGGAGCTTCCATGCCTGGAGTCCCGGTTCCTCCCCGAGTGTTACCCCCATCATCTCTTGCCCTCTGGCCACATTTCCAAGTTGTGCCTTATTGATCACTTGGTCTCCACCAAGGTCAATGCACCCTCTCCTCTACAACCCAAGTCCCCAAAGGAGCAGTCAACCCCTGTGCTTATATCTTAACCCCTGGGTGCTGGCTTCTTCCCTGAGCACTAGAGTGAAATGGGTCTCTTGACAGCCCAAGGACCTTTACCAGTCTCCGTTGCTCACAGGCCTCTCTCCTCACTGTTTGGGATCCTCTGCAACTCCTACCACTGCTGGCCACCCCGGCCTTCCTTCCTCTTCACCACTGGACTTTTCCAGGGGCCTAACACTGGCCAGCTCCTCTTCCTTGTGTCCAGGCAGGTGTTTCTGGAGGCCCTCCTCCACTCCCACCCATTCTCTCTCTCAGAAGTTTATGGAGCACTTCCTCTGTGCCAAGCAATGAGCTAAATACTGGAGATACACCTCCCAAAGCTAGGAAGATCCTGCCTGCAAGGAGCTTACATCCTAATACAGAGAGCTGTCACCAGCCATGTCAGGATCACTTGGTCTGGGGAGTCACGGGCATGGTGAAGAAAGCCACACTAGCCCCACATGGTCTTTAGGAAAGCTAACAAGCAGAGAGATTATCCTACCTGTGCGCTGTCTCTGTCTCTCTTGCACACACACACAGTGTACACGGTAATAGTGACACCATTAAGGATGGTCAGCTGGGAAAGACTTAGCTACTCTGATTGAGATGATGAACCAAGACAATTCCAAAGGACCTAGGACAAGCAACGCTTTCTACCTCCAGAGAGAGTACTGACAAATCCTAAATGTGAACTGAAGCAGACTTTTTAAAAAAAAAATTTTGGGGGGGATGAGGCAGCTGGGGCTAAGTGACTTGCCCAGGGTCACACAGCTAGTAAGTGCTAAGTGTCTGAGATCCAATTTGAACTCAGGTCCTCCTGACTCCAGGGCTGGTGCTCTATCCACTGCGCCACCTAGCTGTCCCTGGAAGCAGACTTTTTAAACTTCATTTTTCTTGCTTTTCTTTCTTTCTTTTTTTTTTTTGCTACATGGTTAATACGGACATGTCTTACGTGACTTCACACCTATAATTGATACCATATTGCTTATCTTCTCGATGAGTGGGGGAGGTACAGGAGGGAGGGTGAGATTTTAGAATTCAAAATTTAAAAAAAAAGAATGTTAAAAATAATAATCAATAAACATTTATTAAGTGCCTACTATATGCCAGGCACTGTGCTAAGTCTACAAAAAGAGGCAAAAGACAGATCCTTCCCTGGAGGAGACTATACTCTAGTGAGGCTAGGAGGTCCAATTCCTTCGTTTTCAAGAGAAGGAAACCAAGACCCAGGCAGGTTCCGTGACCCCTCAAGGTCGGCCCAGATCAAACCCAGGTGCTCGAGTTTTCAATCCAATCCCTCTCTACTGCACCATGGCGACGACCCCAGGAAGACTGGCTGTATTCTGAGATATGGCTCATTTCTAGGAATGGACTCTCTGGGCTGCTGACTTGTAAGGTCCCGGCCGGCTGAGCAGCTGGCTCTGCTCATTCTGCCCCAGCAGCACCTTTAACTGGGGCCAGATAAAGCAAGAAGGGATGGCAAAGGACATTGTGCCCAGCATTTTCCACTGGCCCTCCCTGCACAAATGACCAGGCTTCACCCCACTTCTGCTCTGCTCTGTCATCAGCCAGAGAACTTTCTGTCGGCCAAGCCAGTCTGTTTCCTTAATGGAATGGAATGGAACGTGGACCTGAATGCAGGCCCCAGAGAACACTGTGAGCAGGCCCAGGAAACAAGACAGCCTCTTACTTTGGTAAGTCCTGGGCCCTTTTCTTTACCTCATCCAAACAGTTGACACGAACATTCTTGCTTCCCAGCAGTCTCCCGGTCTCCTGGACATTCCCTTAAAAGAAACCACACATAAATAAGTCTAAGTACTCAAAAATGCAGAAAATGGCCCCCAAAAAGTCAAAGAAATGCCATTTGGAAATTGTCAGGTTAAGCTGTCAAGAATCCAAGCCTCCTTACAGCCCCCTGCCTCTTCCTCTGCATGAATTCTCTGCTCTCTGAAGGCTAGAGGAGGAGATTTAAATCAACTACGTCACTGCCACTCATTTGGGGGCCCTTGGACCCTCCTGGGAAGCCAACTCATCAGTGCAGTCAGGTCCACTAGATTCTTGCTCAGCTCTGGGGGGGGAAGGCCCTAGATCCCTTCCCTCCAGCTCCAAGAGCCAGTGACTTTAAAACCAGATCCTTTGGACTCTATCAGGTATAGATCTGCTTCCCTTTAAGCAGTCAATGACAATGACAATGATGATCTTGCTTGTCCCCCAAACACACAAAGCAATTTAACACGTCAGCCAGCAGCGCCAGCACACGGGGAGCTTCCATTCTCAGGGAGATAATTTGAGGGGGAAATGAGAACTAACTAACTGTAGGAGGAGGGAGAGAGAATCAGTCAAAGAAGTGTTTCTGAGCTGGGCCCAAGTGCTGGCATAGTGTGGTGGGCAGATCTCAAACACCATTTCCCTGGGCAGCTGAGGGTGGATCTCTTGACTCAGGAGCTCTGCCATGCACTAAGTTGGGCATCAACTTTGCCCAGGGGGGCAAAAGTGCTACCAGCTGCCCTACGGAGGGGTGGATGGATCTCAGTAAAATGAGCTTCTAGGAAAGGCAGGGGGCAGCTGGCCCCGGCTCTGCCAGCCTGACATGGGGTTGGAGATGAAGAGGTCCGGGCACTGTAGGCAGGGACAGGGCAGAATGGACAGCAGAGGGCACAAGAGGAAATAATTGCAGGAGCCTTTATTCCTGTTTTATTAGCAACAGGATAATGATTTATGAAATTGGGAAGTGAATGTTTTAAAGTCAAGAAAGGCCCCTTAACCCAAGGCAGCATTCATATGATTCAGATTTCATGAGGTTAATATTAGCCAAGCACACTGAGCCCCCAGGGGGCTTCCCCTGAGTCCTCAGCCTCCTCCAGGCTCTGCTGCTGTGGCTAAGAAGGGCAGCTGCAATCCTCGGACCCTGGGGGCAGGGGCCAGAGCGCCCAAGGAGGCCCAAGGTTGGGAGAGGGCAGCAGCAGGCTGCTGCACCAAACCTCCTGGTTCGGTTGGAAACAGGACAATGCATGTATATGTTAGAGCACCCCAGAAGGCTTTGCCATGACCCACATCCTAGGGTGGGAGGACTCCAGGGATTAGGGCCCAACAGAGAGCTGATAGTTCCTTTTCCTCAGAACAGTTTTCCTCTACTTAATGTGGGTCAGCTGTGTCTCTCCTCCAGTGGGGATGTGCTCCCACGGCCACAGGTGGGGGGAGGCAAGCCAATCACACCTGGAGGGGAGGTGAGGCCACACCTCCAAAAGCTGAGCAGAAGCTGGGGTGAGCACACCAGCGAGGCCAAGCTCTCGGAGTACCAGAATCCCTACCACAGCAGCTCTGACAAGAGCACATCCAGCATCCTTCCGGAAATGTTGGAGGCTGGTCCACACTGTAGGATTTATAGGTCAGGGGGCCAATCTGCCCAGGAAAGCGGCTGTGGCCTCCCATCCCAGCACCTGACCCCTCCAGCGGCATCCAATCCCTTCTCCTCGACACTATAACTTGCCCTCCACTCTCTCCTCTTTCATCCCACCATGAACATCCCCAGCCATTTCTTGCCTGAGCATGCCTCTGCTTTCTAGGGGCACAGCTTTTTGTCTCCCACCTCTGCACCTTTGCCCAGGCCATCCACCAGCCTTGTCAGTGTCCCTGTGGGAGTGCTAAGCTCCAGCCAGGACTAGTCTCTAGGTTAGGTCACTTCCTAGAAGAGGCCCTTCTCAAATTCAGAGGTCTCCCAATTATTGAGAACTCACTTTGAATGTGTTTTACATCAACTGATCCGTGCTGGTGTCACGTTTCCTCACAGCACAATATAAGCAGGCTGAAGTCAGGGACATTGGTATTTTTGTCTTTGGCTCCCAGTGCCTGACACTTGGTGGTGAATGCTTCTGGACCGAGGACTTTATTGGTGCAGGGAGCTCCCTCCACCCATGAGGAGTGGCAGAGTCTTTTCCAGAGCGGGATCAGGGCCCTGAGAAATTCAGTGCCTTGTCCAGGCTCAAACATCTGGGATGTGTCAGCAGCATGTTTTCCAACTCTGGAGTTTCTCTCTCTATCCACTATACCAGACTGACTCTCTAGTTGCCACGTAATAAAGGCTTAATTCACTCACTCCTGAATGTATGGAAGAGTGGACGGAACCCTGGTTCTGCAGCTAGAAGATCTGAGTTCAAATGCTGTCTCTAAGGCTGACCATGTAGACCTCAGCGACATTAGGCAAGTCCCCTCTGGGGGTAAAATGGATGGCATCAGGGGTTGTCCCAGCTTTAATTCTCCGAGCCCTTCAGACTAGCTGTCCCCAAAGCCCTGGGCAATCTCACTCATCTGGCCCTCAGTTTCCTCATTTACAAAATGAGAAGGGTGCCCTATACAGATCCTAGGGGCCCATTCTTAGAGTCAGGAGAAACAGCTAAAACAGCAGAAAGTGTGCTAGATTGGGAGGTATGGCAGCAGGACTCAAATCTAGGCCTCCCGCTTACTGTGTGACCTTGGGCAAGTCACTTGACCCTCTCTGGGCCTCCTTTATCCCTTCTGAGTCTCCTCTTCTGTAAAATAAGGGGGCTGAGCCAGATGGTCTGAGGTCCCTTCCTGCTTGTGATCTTTGCTTCCTTAATAGTATTAATCTGGCCTTTTAGCCTTTCCATTAAAGGTATAAGGGAATCTCAGCCTGGAAACCAGGGTTTTTATGTAAAGCTGATTCCTAATCCTGTTTACCAAAAGGATTGGGGCACTTCTTTGGGTGACCTTAGCTCCGAGTTGTCTGCCACGGCAGAAGATCTGAACCGTCATCATGAAGAGGGGAGATATGAGGGTCTTCTCCCCGTTCAAAGAGGCCACTAGCTGCCTCTCCCCCTCCGACAAGCCAGGAAGCTACTGCAGGCATCTCTAAAGTGCTTTCCCGACCTAACCTTGTCTCTATTTTTGTCCTTGTCCCTAAGATGTGTCCAATGATCCACCGAGTGTTCAGGAGGATGGTCGGGCTTCTTTCAGGTCAGGGGCTGCTTGGCTTTTGTACCCAGTACCCCAGAGGCTAGCTAGAACAGTGCTAGGAACACAGGAGATTCGGAGGCCCCAGGGACAGTGCAATGGGGAGGTGTTGGCACACCTGAACTCAATCTCTCTGAGAGCACAGTTGGCCTGGAGCGTCTGCTGGGGAAGGAGTCTGTAGGGAGGTGGGACAGAAAAGCCCGTGGGACTCGCTCGAGGGGCGGGATCTAGGTGGACCTAGGGGAAGAGGCGAGGCCGGCCCGGCCCAGGCAGGCTCCCACGTGCCCGGGAGCTCCTCCTCTCGCCCCCCCCATCCCCACGCCGAGGTGGGGCCCGAGGTTCCAGGAGGCAGGAGCGGTAGCTAGCTTCTGGAGGCCAGGTTGACCCTGGAAGCGGAAACTTCCTCTGACACGAGCTGGGGGAGGAGGGAGTCACTTTGCTTTAAAGTAACCAGCCACCAAAGATGACAGGCGGTGCTGGCTGGGGGGCGGGATATGGAAGAGGTTTTAGTGGCACCTAGGGGTGCCCCTTTGGCCTGCAGGCCCAACCTTCCCCCCGTGGTGGGTGGTAGGGCTGCAATCCCAGTCTCAAAGCTCGCTTTCCCTGGCTTCCCGGCCCCTATGCCCTTGTGCCCCTGCCAGCCAGGAAGGAGGTGGCCGCTCAGCCCCAGAGCCTTTCACGGTCCGGGCAGCTGGGGCTGGGGCCAGGCGTCCTCACCTTGCCCGATCACTTCCAGCAGCTCCTTCTCTTCCTGGGTCAGCTCGCCTTTCTTGGGAGGAGCCATGGGGGCGGCCGCCGTACGCCAGGCCAGATAGCCTGCAGGTCTCCTACCCGCTCCCCCGCCAGAAGGCTTCAGAAGCCGCCCGGGAAACTTTGTTGCAAACGTCTACTCCGCGGCCCAGGGAGAACCTCAGCAAAAGATACAATATAGCAAAGGCTCCTTGGCATGGGCCGCAGCCTCGTCTTGGAGCAGCGCAGTAAGAGCGCCTTGGGGGTCCGCCTCCTGCTGGCTCCTCCTCCGATCGGGCCAGCCCGGGGGACAGACCACGAGGACAGGGACCGAGGGGAAGGCAGAATCGTTCTCCCTATGCTGCCCGGCTGTTTGTGGCCAGCGAGGGCCTCTGGACATGGAGCCTACATGTGGGCTCTCAGACTCTTCTGAAGGTGGTTCTGCCTAAGTCGGGAGGCCCCAGGAGCCCCCGAGATGGCTCCCAACCGACTTCGGGCATTTGTTTCCCACCCCCCGTCTTTCGGTAAATGGTGCAGCCCGATGAAGAGAGGGAGGGGAGTAAGAAAGGGAAGGCGGGGACCAGAAACCGAGGGGAGGGAGACACTGAGTATGGAGGGGAAGGCGGGAGAGGAGGGGCCCGAGGAGGAGGCGGGGCCCTGGGAGGGCGGAGCCCGAGGAGGAGGCGGGGCCCTGGGGGGCGGAGCCCGAGGAGGAGGTGGGGCGAGAGGGAGGCGGGCCCTCGTGGCTGTCAATGTGTCGGTCCTTCACTGCTCCATTGTCTGCTTCCACCACCGCTGCTGCTAGTGTCTCTCCGGCTCGAGCTCAGCCTCCTCCAGCCCCGCTGCCCGCCCCCGCCCGGACAGGTAAAGGCCCCCGCGCTGGTCGCCGGGAGGGGAGGGAGGACAGAGGAGGAGCGAGAGGAGGAGCCGCGGCCGCCGCAAGTGGCCCGTGCCAGCCGAAGGGCACGCCGCCTCGCCTCGGTTCCTGCCTCTGTTCTAGCCGCTGTCCCTGCCTCCGTCCCTGCCCATTGCCCGGAGCGCCTCCCCGGCGGCCGGAGGGGAACGAGGACTGGCGGCCTCGGCGCCGCGGGGGAGGGGGGAGGCGGGAAGCGGGGCGCCGCCCCGAGCGCGGGAGCCTCCTTCAAGTTGCGGGCTCTCGGAGAAAGGCGGGAGGGTTCCGTGCGTGGTGGCAGGGAAGGAGGCTGCTTCATCGACCGTCTCGGCCCCGAGGGGTCTCCCATCGCCGCCCCGCTGGACGTGTCTCCCCCTCCCCACCCCCATTCCCCATAAGCCCTGGGTGGGTCTAGCCTGTAGCTGTCAGTGTCTCTAGTGACCGCCCGGCACACAGTAGGCGCTTAATTAATATTTGTTGTTTTGGATCCTCTGAGTCCTGGTCCTGAGCTTGCCGAAGCTCAGTCTCACGCGGGGACAGCTGGCTTCCTTCAGTGACAGCCTTAATAGTAGTAACACCAATTATAACTACCATCGACATTGCGTTTAAAAGTTTGCAACGCGCTTGATTGACCTACCTAAGCTCATCCGAGCCTTTGTTAGGCGCCTACTCTGTGGGAGCTCTGTGTCTGAGAGGCAAAGGTTTTCAGAAAAGACAACCTGGTTCAGCTCTGGGAGCTAGGCACCCTGGAGAGAGCAGTGCCCATGGAGTTCGAGGCTCTGGGCTCACATTCCTCCTCCTGTACTTACTATCTCAGTGAAGGACAGGACATTTAATAGCTGTGGGGCCTCAGTTACTCCTGTGTTAAAACCGGGGCAGCTCGATGGGGTCCGAGCTGGTTCCTACAATCAGACGTCTATCAGCGTTCTCTGGGCTTCGAGCCTATTTGGGGCTCCCTGTTTGTGAGGTCGGAGCCTCTCGGACAGTGAACTCAGGGCTGATCCCAATCAGGGGCAAGGTTTCTGTAGTCTCGTAGAATTCAGATACCCGCAACTCAGCCTAGGCCCCAGCAGCCCGGAGCGCGGGAACAGGCAGGTGGTGGTTTACTGGTGCATGGCTGTGAGAGCTTTGTTTATTGCAGACTCAATTCTCCCACCAGGGGTGTTGATGCACAGCCGTGGGAAGCTGCTGCCTTCTCCTTAAGCGTTAGTCGGTCTGTTTATTTGTTTCCGCACAGATAGACTTGAATGCTTCTCTGGGGACCCATCTGGCTCCCCGAGAAAGCAGGCAAAGTCTCCTCCTGAGCGACGTTTGTAGGTTGGTGGGTGTCAAACCTCCTTCAGCTGAGGAAGGCACGGGGTGGGAAAGGGGCCGATTTGGGGGTCAGGCTCGCTTCGGGGGTTTGCCCCTCAAATCTTCGGAGGCATTGAGAGCTTTTCGTTGTAACTGACAACCCCATTCACCTCCTTCAGGGTCACTTTTACTCTGGGCAGATGAGGTCACCTCTCTCTGGTGGAGCTGGAAAGATCCCATGAGATAATGGATGTAAAAAACAGTGCCCTGGAAGCAAATGACTTCTGCCACCTCTGGCAATGCCTGCGGGACCCTGAGTAGATTGCTTTCCCTCGGTCCTTTCCACCTCTGTCCCGAGACTCCAGGGGAGATTGGAGTACGAGCATTTCTTAAAGCTTATCCCAGAAATCCCTCCGAATGGCTAAGCAGACAAAGTGAGGGGACTACCAGACCTGAAGTCATTTCTGAAAAAGCGTTCCCTCGTGCCTGGTGCTCTCCAGATATCTAAGGGACTTGTCACTTTGTCAGTGACAGTCACTGCCAGAAGGTCCTCTGGCTCTGACAGTCCTTGGGATTTATAACAGTGCAGCACAGTCGAGAAATCCACAAACCCGATAAAGTGCTAGGGGGAGGGTGGGCGTGTGGGCGTGTGTGTGTTGGGGCGGGGGAGGAGAGCAGCTTACTTATGGTAAGATTTGGTGCCTTTCTATTGGGTGAGTTGCCAGATTTGGGTCCTCTCCTGCTAATATTTCCATAGACCGAGCCAGACCTGGGCTACAAATTACCCAAAGTCCCACCTGTTGGCCTCAGTGGGGTTGGAAATTCCTTGAGGACAGGCCTTCTACTTTTCCCGTGGAGCGGGCTGGCACCTCCAGGGCACCGTTCTCTACCCACCAGGGGGAGGCGCAGAGAGGAATATTTGCGTTGGAAGGAGCCTTAGGGATCATTTGGCTCCACCCCCTTCCTTTTATAGCCAAGGAAATTGAGGCCCTGGGAGGGAAAGGGCTTTGTTCAAGGTCACCGGGCTACCCAGCTTCCAGCGGAGCTTTTCCCTGAGGCCTCACTCGGGTGCCTCTTTGCTGACTGACGGCTCATCTCCGAGGGCTGAAAGCTCTCCTCTCAGCCTAAGCTGGAGCTCTGGCGTTTGGCTGGTCAGCTTCGGCTTCTGGAGGCCAGTGCCCTGTGGCTGGAGATTGGAGAGCAGGGATTTCACTGGGGCCTTGAATTCTCAGTGAGGAAATGCCCTCGGCCCATGCCGACAGCAACTGGCCTGCAGTTTGGAGTCTTAGCGAACTGTCCAAAGGATGGTGGTGATGATGACCAGGAAATGTTGAACGTTAATGGGCTTAAGCAATGTAAATATTTAACACGGGGAAGTGGTCAGCTACTCAGTATCTCTCTGCGTTTTCTAGGCCCCAGTTCGCTGGCTGGAAGTTTTTATTAAGGACTTAAGTGGGAATGTCTAGCTGCAGAAGCTTCTCTTGTTTCTCTGACATAGTAGAATCGCTTGAATGCGGTTTCGAGGCACTGCCGGCCCTGTTTTACTTCACAAGCATTTCTTGGCTCTCCCTTAATGCTAGCAGCCCTCAGGTGATTATTCCCAACAAGCAGCCCTCACTTGTTTGGGCTTAATGGTTTGCAGATTCTCTTCCCGTTAGACTGGGAGCCCTATAGAGGCAGGGGCACCTTTGACCCTCTTTATGTTATGGAACTCAGCACTAGTGACTGGTACATAGTGGACTCTTAATGAGTTTATCGAGTCTTACTACGGGCCCTGAACTGGGCACAAAAAAAGAAAGACAAAGCAGTCCCTGCTGTCACGGAGCTTATGTTTTTGTTTTTGTTTGGGGGGGGAGGGAAGGAAGAGAACCCGAGAAATTGTGACTGTACTAACTGTATACGGCGTAATTTCACTGGGATCAGGAAAAGCCTCTTGCAGGAGGGAAACTCTTTGTAGGAGGGAACCCTCAAACTGAGGCCTCAAACGGGGAGCTGATGATTCCAAGAGCCAGAGGGAGGTAGTAGAGCGTGGGGAGGGGCTGAGATGGCACGCATGGTGGTGAGAAGGAAGGAAGGAAAGACTGGGAGTCAGGAAGCCTGAGAGTGTTGGCTGCTGCTCTACAGAGAGAGGGGTTTGTGGACAGAGGGTGTCCTCGTGGTCTTGGATGGGGGCTGTTCTGTGGGCCATTGTAGGCCTCACTGGGGTGTGACTTGCATGTGTATTTTAATCTGTACTCATATGTGTTGGAGTGAGAAAAACCAAGGTGAGCTGGCATCGTTTTCCTTTTCTGGATCAATTTGAAGCCATGATAAACAAGCCAGCAATGGGCACCCCACCCCAGTCAATCCAAGCCAGGCCAGAAGTACTGGTTAAGCCCTAAGTGATTTGTTTTACTAAAGGCCTGTCCTCTCACCCCCCCCCCCTTCTCCAGAAGCTGCAGTGACTCCCTCTTAGCTGGAAGATCAAATGTAAATGCCTTGCCTGACCTTCAAAGCCCTTCCCAAACTTCCTCCAGCCTACCCAGTTAACCTTTTTATTTTTTTTTTAACTGGACTTGTGATTTTATTGGTTCAGGGAGTTCACAACGGGGAACTTCCCCTCCCAACTCAGGCTGGCACCACCTCTGCCCCTGTAGGTCTTAGAGAGCTGCCTAGGGCCACCGAGAGTACAATGCCTGGCCCAGGGGCTGAGAATTAGAATCCCTGGCCTTCCTGAGCTCTATCTGTGACCCGAGCTTTCAGCCTCAGGATCGAGGATCACCCCTTTCCTTCTCTGTGCTCCCCCCAGACCCACCTACTTAGAGCTTCTCTGCCAGCTGGAGTCCTTGCTGCTCTGGCCTTGAATGTCCTGTTTTCTCACTTCCCTGGCCTCTTAGGCTCCCTTTGAGCACTGCCTTCTACATGAAGGCTTTCCTGATCCCCCATTGGCTAATGCCTTCCCTCTCTCCCCAAAACACCTGGTATCAGTTTTACAGAAAGACATATATATGTGTGCATACACATACATTGCATGTATGCACATATGCATGTATGTATATATGTATACACAGTGCCTGCACACTAATGTGTATGTGAACTGTATGCATTTATGTATATGTGTACGTGCATGTGTATACTGTACATGTGTGCTGTATACATACACATGTGTAGGTATACATATTGTGTATGTATGTGTACAAGCAGATGCATGACTCCCCAGATAGAATGTAAACTCTGAAGACAGGGACTGCCTCATCTTTGTGTCCTTGTGCCTAGCACAGTACCTGGCTTCTCCATTTGGAGACTGTTTGCAATGGCAAAGCTAGGAAAGTTGTGAAAGTCACCGCAGTCAGAAAAAAATCCCACATCACTCTCGTTTTCCTCAACC